TCCAAAGGAATTTCTTGTCAGACTTCTGATCCGTTCACTACCCTTCCTGAAACTGTCGCATCGAGTGATTGTTGTCATCATTATTTGTTTATTTATCTTTTCTGATGATTTTTCTGGGTGTTTTGTGTTTGTTAAAGTTTAAATTGTTCTCTAGAATTATTATTCATGGACATTTATTTAAGGTTTCCTCTCCATTTGAGCTTGTGTGGTCTGTGAGGTTTGTATGGGATGTGTATTTTTGGTTGCTCTGAAATCTTGCAAACTTTTAAGGTTAACGTAAGCATTGTAGCATTGTACATAAATCGTTAATCAAAATTTATCGTTTGTCCCTTCCAAAATATTGATGATCACCTCAAAATTTTGCCAAATAAATTGTATCTAAAATGTAGAAGATATTCTGAGTCTATCTTTATGGTTTATCAATACTTATATTTATATTTTTTAGATTTACATATAAAGGGTGACACAAAAAAAACTTATGAATGAGGTTGATCAAATCATGAACAGCTCCTCCCATTTTCTCAAAAATTGTGGATTGGAGTACAGTTATTATTAGTATTAAATTGCATATACCCAAATTTGATATTTGTGACCTTGCTAAAAAGTTGATCACGTCATCATAAAATTTTGTACTAGAAAAACTCATTTGAAACATACGCATTACAAGCTTACAAAACTTTACTTCAGCATTGCACACTGGACATGCTGTACTGTACTTCAAAAATGAAGGAAGTTTTATTTAAATAAGCCTAGACCAATTTTCACTTTCTGAGCGTAAGTTAAGGAAGAAATGTAATCGAAACTTTCGGACGACTGGCCACTTTCACATTTTTCGATGTGTATAAAGATCCCTGGATTTCGAAATAATAGATCCCCCATTTGCGTCTGTCTATCTATCTGCCGTCTGCTTCGATTTTTGTTAGGCAGATAACCTCTGAAACTACAGGATCGATTGTCGTCAAATTTTATATAAGTATTATGAATGTAGATGGGAAAACATTAACTAAACTTTATCTAATCATCATCACCAACAATGTGATGACGTCACATCAAAACTGTACCTACGTAAATGGGTTTTAAATTGTATAAAATAACATACTCCTACACGTGCATGAATCCGAGATATCCAGAGTTTTGTAAAAAATCAAAATTGTATGACAACATTTATAATTTAATTTTGCATATTTTTTAAGTTATCCTGAACTTGGTAAATTTTTAATTACAATATATTTATTTATTCCCACCATAATATTGTTGTCGCTATCTCATTATTTTGCCAAATAAATCTAGCTATAAAATATGATGGATCTTATACCTGTGATTTATAATTAATTTCATTAATATTTTTACTTCCCGAGCTTTCGCCAAGGATATCGAAGTATAGTAGTATAGTAATCGAGTCCACGGGCGACTGGCTACTTTCACGTTTTCTCGACGTTTCATGACTCCTACAGTACGACAAGATAGGTCTTCCGTTTCAGCATGTCTGTCTATGTATGTCGATTTTCATTAGATAGAAGTAAAGTTGGTAAAGCGCTAACCAAAATTTGGCTAATCATCCCCATCAACAATTGGATGACATCTCCCATTTTTTTTTATTAAATGCTGTTTAAATATACTTATACTTGTTGTTTTTAAAGGCGCCTTGATTGTTTACCCTAGGCATCAAAATTTTACTAAAAAATTCGGATTTTTTACTGTACTTCAGGGGCGCGGGAAGTTCTCTCGAAATAACCTTGGACCAATTTTTTATTGGTTATTTTTCTTTTTTAATAAATCTGACACAAAGATTCCCAAATCCATTACTGAAGACCCATTTAAAATGCTAAATGCTAAAAATCTATCAAACATGATTTATAATTATTTATCCGGGAGCCTCTCTACAAATGCCACAACAGAAATATTTACTTGTAATCAGTTAAATTTTAACAAACAATACAGTTTCTTTATTTTGGGATGGGAATTTTAAAATTTTTGTATATTTTCTTTTTGTACAAATTATAATTTTGAAACAATTTAAATGATTGTTTAAAACGGAACACTATACCAAGTCTAAAATTTACACATTCAAATGCAAACTACTTATTTATGATACATGACCAAACATTTACGGATAAGATACATACAAATTGACAGCTAGCGTAAATCTGTACATCTACCTGTCAACTGTTGTACATTAACAAACATGATTTTAAAGAAGATAGTATTCTGAGAGTTTGTAACAATTTGGACAAAATTTATGTACCAAGTGAAACACCTACTTTTTGGTTGTGATAAACTCCTTTGACAAAAAAATGTCGAGTTTTTGACCGAAAAAATTATATGTAACTTTTCTTTTAGCACAAAAACAGACGATGTTTAAACCAATTAATTTAAACTTAACCTTTCACCCTTAAAAATTGAACTTAAAGCAGTTAAACACCAAAGGTGAGAATATGTTTTATTTTATTTTAAAATTTTTTATTAAGTTTAATTTACAGCTTCGTCACTTTCTTATTCATAAGTGTTTAGAACAGCAATTAACGAATAACTGGTTTTCAAAACCTAAAACAACAACGATTAAGTTGAAAATTCATTTTCACCATAATACAAAAAATTTACCCATAGAAAACTTCCAAGGGTTAGATGTACAACTTTCCCGATTGTGATAAGCATTGGTCGTTTGGCTCATTCCACTATGATTAGTAAAAGTTTCTGGATTTTAATATCACATTTGCACCACGGTCCCATATAGATGGCTAGATGGCGCTGTTTAAATCGTTACTCTAAAAACAGAAAACTGAACATTGTTTGAAACGTACCTTTTTCCAACTTCTTGCTTCCTCATATAGTAATGTACCGTAATAGCAATAATATAATATTTGAATACTAATATCAAAAATTAATGCTATGTAGGTAAATGCATCGACAGTGCCTAATGGAACCTAAAAAAAAAATAAGTTTTCAAATAAAATTTACGCGTCAGGTTACCAATGTCAAGCCTATACAACAAAAACATTATCAAAGAGGTTTCCTATAAATTGACAGAATATGCTCCGGGAGAAACATTCTTCATATTCATTTAAAAATCTGTACATTTATTTTAAAATAACTATAAACCGAAACAAACGATTTAACGATTATTTGTCTAATCAAAATCGATACAGGCAGAAGAAGAAAAGGGAAGAACCACTTTTTCGTCCTGTAGGGTGGATCCTGTTTTACGCTCGGGAAGTAAAAATTTGTGGATTAATACACGAATCAGTTCTCGAAAACACTTTTAAGTGATATTTTTGTTTTTATTTTCCGAACATTATTTAAACACGACGAATGCCGTACGTCATAACCGACAAAGGGATTATTTTATAAAAGCATCTTGTGTAAATTCTGAACGCTGTACTTTTTAAATTTTGAACGCCGCACTCTTACATTCCATTACAAATTTCTATTTTACCTCATAGGAGCTATCATAAAAATATTTACAAAGTATATCCCTATGACCAAATAATATATGTGCGAATGAGATACTTAAAATTTAACAGCTAGCTTAGATCTGTAACTGTTGTTCTACATTAACAAATATAGTTTTAAGGAAGATATTATTGATGGTTTGTAACAGTGGCGGCTCGTGACTGTCTGATGTGGTGAGGCGATGATAGAAGTTTGACAATAATAGTAATATTACTTGGTCTTACTAGTTAGTAATGATAGAAGTCTTGCCTGAATACCGGCCATTCCCGGGTCAGTGGTAGGTCCTAATAATATTAATAATAATAATAATAATAATAATAATAACACCCATTGAATCAACAATGTTTTTACAAGTCAAAATTTTGTTGAAAGTAGCACTTTCTTGGAGGGATTCGGGAATAGTTGTTGTGTTCTTTTCTAAACGTTTTAAGCCCATGAAATGTTTAATGTGTACTTTGGAACTTTCATGAAACTTTGCACTTCGGATGAAATTCTTTAAATCGTTATATCCCGATGTTGTGTAAATATTAGAGATGTTGTGTAAATATTACGGCAGAGCCATTTATATGTTTCGTAGGTACCAAGTTGATTCAAATGACTTGGAGTACTGACGATTCTGTCGCTTATCAATGGAAGTTAAATGAATTAACGGTTTTGACTGCTCGATATTTTGCAAAATTTGCCGACGTTCTAGCTCGGTTCGCTGTGAAAACGGCGTTTCAAGAAACAACATGACGATGTCGTACTCGGGATTCATTTTTCACTCACCTGTACCTATGAAAGAGACAATAACACAAAACACCAACACGTGGGTTTTTATTCACGTTCATGCTAATTACCCACGCACCCCGCAACCCTACCGTTCTGTAAAATAAATGGAAAAGTGGTTTAATGAGTACGCCGAAATTGGCCGAGAAGCACCGAAGATATCGCCTCAGTTCCGAGCGAACGCATGTATAAGAGTGTAGGAGCTGAGCCATCGAAATCCGTGTCTGTGATTGGGCTTCGCTGGTTCAAGTGAACCGACGTTCTGGCCGCTTCAGTTAAAGAACTAGGGGCATAAATCGTACGGTATTCAACGGAAAATGTCAGCAGGAAGCGTAAAAAATAAAAAATCATGTACAGATTTCCCATTTCAACATATTTTTGTAACTAATGCATTGAAAACTCTTTTTTAATTATAAATTAAGTCAATCTGTTCTTAACATATTATGCTGTGAGGCGCCGCCTCACTTGCCTCATCTGACGAGCCGCCACTGGTTTGTAACAATTTTGACAAAATTTATATACGAATTAATTTTTGAGACTTTTACCGAAAAATGGTTATGTAATTGTTTTTTATCCAAAAGGGTAGATGTTTAGTTTATTTTATTTGGACCTACTTTTTATCAATAAAATTAACTGAATTAATTAGTTAAAGTAATTTATAAATTTAAATCAAATTCAGTTCGATTTTCAAAACTAAACATTTATTTTAAAATTTCAGGTTTAAAATTTTAGCAAATAATGCCAAAGTTGAGACAGATTTAATTTTATTTCAAAAATTATTACTAGGTTTCATTAACACTTTCGTCATTTTTTTATTCATAAGTATTTAGGACAGCAATTAACGAATAACTGGTTTTCAAAACCTAAAAGAACAGTGATTATAATGAACATTCATATTCAGTATTATGTATACAATTTACCGATAGCAAACTTACAAGGGTCAGATCTACTACGTTCCCGACTGTGATAAGCATTGGTCGTTTAGCTCGTTCCATTACAGTTAATAAAATTTTTCGAGTTTTAATGTCAAATTCGTACCACGGTCCCATATAAATGGCGTTGTTTAAGCTTTGACTCTAAAAACACAAAACTTAAAATTCTTTGGAACGTACCGTTTGACCAACTTCCTACTTCCTCATATAGTAATGTACCATAGTAACAATAAAAAAATATTTGAAAAGTAATGTCAACAATTAATGCAATATAGGTAAATCCTTCAACTGTGGCTACTGAAACCTAAACAAAATCAGTTATTAAATAACATTAACACATCAACTTACAAGTGTCAAGCCTATACAACAAAAACATATACCAAAGAGGCTTCCCGCAAATTGGCTGAATATGCACACACTGAAACATTCTTCGAATTCATTTAAAAACCTGTAAATTTATTGTAGAATAATATCAAAGATCGAGAAGTGCTGATTAAATTTAATTTAGATTTAATTTAACATAAATTTTTACCGCAAAATTTTGTTGTGATGGTTGATGCTGTATTGCAAATGTTTATACACACAGCGGTATTCTACAATATATTCGTTACGTTTTCTTAAAGTATAATCTACGAATTTGTCCATGTGTTGTAAATTATATTTTAGAATCTTTAACTGAGCTGTAGCATGATACGGCAAACCACCCACAAGTGAATCAATTGTAGTTCCACAAAAACCGATATAAAAAGTAGCTGCAAACGGAAATGTTAATCTTATGCACTACCTACATGATATTTGTTATCACCTCCAAAAACATAAATTAAAGTAAGATAGTATCTGAAAGCTGTGGATAGGGGATCGTATGGTAACCAGATATCTAGAGGAAGTTTACGCCCTTTGAAAAAGAACACAGGAAAATGCCAACCAATAAGAGCTAGCAGTATACCACAAAAATAAACAAATGAATTTCTGCGACATACCCAAATACATTCGTCTATAATTTTTCTTTCTTGATCCGTTTTTGGTGCAAAATTGTCGTCTCCAAAAAAATTGATGCACTCTTGAATTTTTTTAGGATTGTAAAGAAATGGCAAAAATTTAAAACAGTAGTCAACAGCTTCTACTAAATATACTACCATGGCGTTTTCTACTACATTATCTGTGCGTTTATCCATTAGAATGTTGATGAAAGTTAATATTATAGGGAGTACTAAAAAAACGAAGTACAAAATGCAGGATTTCAAACCCACCGAATTGTCGCCCAACGAATATAATCCCATGATGTGTAGCACCTTTAAATTCAAACTGAAACTTTTCTCTATTATGTTCGCCATATCGGTATATACTTTCACAACAAAACGCAGGAATAAAGTGGGAACTGGTCGTCCATTTACTCTTACATAATCATTTCCCAATGAAATTTTATCTCTCAGTTATTGTGGAGGTTGATGCGTTATAAATTTTTTATCAAAGCATTGTGAAAATGCGATGGATTATAATTACAAAGTACTTCTTGTATCGGCTTTCATAAATACGTTATTTAATTTTTTATTCGTTTAAATACCTTTAATAAAGAGATTGCATCTTTGAATAAAATTATCGATTCTTCTTAATGAATTATGCACTAAAATAATCTATACACTTCACAGATGTAGGGCGGTATTGAAAACGGGGTTTATTTTTCCCTTCAAAGAATAACAAGGGTGACCTACAATCCTACAAATGAAGTAATGTCATGTGTAGAGAGATGCAAAAATAGTTCAAGGACGCGGGCACCCTAATGGTGTGTAATATCTCAAAACATTCACGTGTAGTTTACGAAATCTGCTGCAGAGGGCGCCGAGCTTATTCGTATATATGAATTATACTTTGTGTATGTGTTTCACGTAAGTTACAAAACCTGACATATTTTTCGTATCATAGGCAGCCCTAAGTTTGGCAACAACGCTTAAACTTATTTTCCTTGCTTTATCGAAATTTTTAATAATAATATTCCACAATAAGATAATTTTTTATCAGTATAACAAAAAAAAATGCTAAAAGTTGTAATACCAACTCTCGTCATATTTTGATGAAGATTTTGAATAGAATCGACTAATTTTTACTTGTGGAGGCTAAGCTCAAAGGAATTGGTATAAAATCTATTTGACAAATTTTATATTTTCTTGATGTTTCAAAATTCAATACAATACGAAGGGGTAGGTTCTCGTTTATCAGTCGGCAAGTTCACTGGATAAGTAAGTGATTTCCGAAACGTCTGAGCAGATTTCTATGAAACTTTAGGTTTACTTTAAGAATAGCATGTAGATTATAAAACTATAGCAATATAGATGTGTTTATCACCAAAAACAATTTCATAACCTGATCACAGAATTTTGCAAAGTAAATTCTGTTTTAATGTGCAAATAATATGCTTCCATACGCAAATGCCCAATGTAATTTTTTATATTACGCATACATAATTTTCTTAATAATTTGTTATTATTATTATTAAGACCCACCATTGACCCGGAAATGACCGGCATTCATGCAGGCAAGACTTCTATCATTACGGGTACTAAGACCAAATAATGATATGCATTGATTAGATTAACAGAACAACTTTCGAGATTCTAGAATTACAGCATACAAATTAGTCTGTTATTATTCTCTAATCTCACCCCATCCCCAAACTACCGACCATTTATCCGCGCATCACTTGGAAAGTGACCTACACTACTCTGACCTACTGGTGCTAATCTAATCTGACTGACATGATCAGACTGTTCAATAAACTTACTTATAAGACCCACCACTGACCCGGAAATGACCAGCATTCAGGCAAGACTTCTATCATTACGGGTACTAAGACCAATTATTATTATTAAACTACGGCCCCAACAGGCAAAAGCCCAATTACGGAGACCAAAAAAAAGAAGCAAAACAAAAACTGAGAATATGATATAGTTTGACAAATTAAGCCAAGCACAAACCAATAAAATTATTATAATATTTAATATAACTAACAGTTGAATTACTCAATTTGAACTACTATTATACCGAATATTTAACACTACAAAGATACTATTTAAACATATACCACTCAATTATTGGATAACTATAATGAATACAAGTCTTGATAGATATTCTCTCTAAAAGAATATTAAGGAAGACATAAATGACCAAACATAACAAATAATTATTACGGACTGTAGACAAAGGGATAGCACACCTAACATAAGATGGTAGAAGCAGTAGCAAAAATGCTAGCCAAACTGTCATAAAATAGGTCACATCCATAAGAGACACAATTGAAATTTTTACAACTCACAAACAGTGGACACTTCCTTCCAAGATTGGTCATACAGCGACGAGTTTTAAAAACCTCTTGATGCCGTGAATTAAATCGAGGAACCAAGAAACACAGTTGATGCATGAGTCCTATACAATCTATACGGTCATGAACAAGATTATAGACAAATTTAATAGAAGCAATATCTCTCCTCTGTTTCAAAGAACTTAGCTCAAAACGATTTAACAAACTTGACTCAACAACACCTCTCTCAGGATAAGTTCCAGTTTCAACAAAAAACAAAAACTTGAGAAATCTTCGCTGGACCTTCTCCAACGCCAGAGACTGGTAAATGTATATTGGATACCATGCCAAGGAGCAGTATTCCAGTTTAGATCTGACTAAACAAAAATATAGGAGTTTAAGCACTCTTTTGTACTAGCTTTTAGACTACCACAACCCTCGCAAATTGGTAATCAAATTTCATCTATTCATCCCACCAAACATTTGTCATTTTTTCCAAAGACAACTAACCACTCCAAAATAACACTGACACAAAAAATGACTTCAAAAGCATTACAGAGACACTGATTACAGTTTGAAAAAATCTTAAGCATCTGTTTTATAATTTAAAAATCTCGATAAACTTGTTGTTTATCAATGCATTTCAATTTTTTTAATTTGCTTACACAGGGTGAATGTTCTCCAAATTAAAATTTATAATTTTTCGAAGAAGCTGTATTTGTTCGACTGTACTTTAGAGGTTGGGGAAGCTCTGTTGAAATAATTTTCAACCAATTTTTTTTAACGTATATCTCCTGGAACTGTCATAAAGCAGACAAATAAAGAAGTCATGTTTATGTTAGATTATCATATATACTGGTAAATAGGCATTACAGTTTTTAATAATATTAACAAAATAACGGATTGATTAGGAAAAATATAGTCATTTATTTCTCTCTAAAAGTGTTGTAAATCAAGGTTTTTATTCGAAGGCAATCTTTGTTGATCAAAGTATCCTTGTGTCGAGCTAATAGTTCCTCACATTCGTGCTTCTTAAGTGCAATTTTATTTTTTATATGTTTGGAAAAATATTTTGCAACAATACTTTTTTCTGTATTGCTCCAGCGTACTCGACCAGTAATTTTTTCTTTCTTGGAAGAGCTGCACGGCTGGGCAGTTTCTAAAAATAGACTTAGAAATAACATTTGAAAAAAATATTAATAACAATAATTAAGTAATTTAAAGTAAAATTGAAAAAGCTGAAGAAACTAGTCATACAAACTACTAATTTTTTCAATAATTCAATACGTTTACCTTCATTTCTTAAAACATTCTCTTCAATATTGGGGAGATAGTCTTCTGTCTCATCACTATTTAATCTTTTACGCTTTAAATTTTGTTTGTTTCTAAAACTCGTATTTTCTGATGGCGAGTTTCCCTCTCCTAAATTATTGTTTATGATAGGTGGTAATGACGATGTACCTTCTTCTTCATTTTCGGATTCAGAACTATAATAGATTGTGTTCTCTAACTGGATATCGTTTAAGCTCTTTCCTTTAAATTCTTTCCCTCTACCTTTATTTAATAGTAACAATATTTTCGCCACTTTGGCAGTTTGATATATGTCTTGTGGCAGTCTAAAATTATAAATATGTTTATGAACAAAATATTAAAAAATCTGAAATACGGACGTACCTGTAAAACTCTTCGTGCGTTTTTTTGGTGTGCCCCATAAAGGTAGCAATTTGGTCCATTTCATTTTGCTCCAAAGTCATTAATTGGAGTGTTGTAGCTATGTGCTTCCTGAATTTAGTGGAAGTTAAAAGTGATGGATTTTGGGCACCACATTTTTTTGCCATCTTGCTGATTACATGCACACCAGACATCCACCTATTTTCCGAACCTGGATTTGCAAAAAGATAGGGGTTATTTGTGGGCACTATTGCAGAATCTTCCCGCAATTTTATTAAGCATGTTATATATTTTTGTATTCTTTGCGGAAAAAGAATTGGAATTGGTTTTGATCCCTTGCCCCCAGTTAAAACTCGTTTTAATTTTTTGCAAATTATTTGCTCCACAGGAGTTAAGGATTCTACAAAAGCTTCCTGGTTGTTGGTACTTGCTCTTGCATTGTTATATGTTTCAATTTTTAGATATTGCACGTCACCTATTCTTTTCCTATTAAACATTACCACTAAGGCTAAGACACATTCAGTCAGTGTTTTATAGTTTTGTTTCACATTTAAGTTGTCCTTAATATATTCATAAGCGTCTTCAGCATGTGCGCTCAGATAAGATTGGAATGCTTGTATGTCACTTGCTAGTGGTAGTTTTGCAGGTTTTTCCCACTGTTTTTCTTTAAGATCTTTCAGTGCTAGGCTGGACAGTTCATTGCACCAGTGTCCCTCAATTAATTTTTTTATTTCTTTTATGGCCGTTTTTGTTTCTTCTCTGTCTACCCAATTTATATCAGGCATTTTCTTTTTCTCTATCACTATTTTCAAGGCTATGTCGCATACAATTTTTAAGTTTGTGCCCATGTGTAAAGCGAGAGAAGGTACTTTAAACTTCTTTAAACTTTGATCGTATCCACTGATCAGTTTAGTAGCTGTAATTAGTGTTTCAAAATATTCCGGTCTTAAAAAATCAAATAATACCGAAATATTAGAGTTAATGGATTTTAAAGCCAATAATAGACGCCCCATTTCCCTTATTTTGTTTGATACTACGACAGACATCTGTTGCCGTTTATGCTTGTTTAAAAGCGTTTCTCCATACAAACAAATAAGAGAATCACTTTTGGCCACCAAGCTTATGCTATCAGGACGCATAATGTTAAAAACTTCTGTTTTAATGCGAGAATTTTTTAAAAATTCATTATTTTTTGATATCATTGAAGCCATGAGATTTTGAGATTTGGTAAGGCAGTGTTTGCCGGCTTTAGATATATCTGGAGGTTTGTTTTTGCAAATTTTTACATGTTTGTACAAATACTTTTTGGTATATTGCCCCAAGCAGTACGTACAAACAAAATATTCAGCTTCGGGATCCTGGGATGTACGGACCGGATTTGTCATACTTTTCTCTACTTTTAGGTGAAAATAGCCTTGTTTTCTTAGAGCCGAAATTAAAGCTAAGCGCTCTTTACTACCTGCTTTTTGTTTCTCGATTTGCTGTACGTATTTATTATCCTTGTGATGACGAACCAAATGTCTTGCAAAATGTGTAGTGACGTCTTGGTAACAAATCGGGCATATGGTTGGCCTGTCTCGC